AGAGTGCTGTCGCATCACAGCTCACAGTAACTCAAACTCTTGGGCTCAGGCGATTCTCTTGCCTCAGCCTCCCAAGTAGTTGGGACTACAAGTGCCCACTAGAGTGCCTGCCTATTTTCTGTTGCAGTTGTCATTGTTGTTTAGCTGGCCTGTGCCGGGTTTGAACCTGCCAGCCTTGGTGTCTGTGGCTGGTGCCGTAACCACTGTGCTACGGGCGCTGAGCCCATTTGCTGACTTTTAAAACCCATCAGTGCTTGAGCAAGGGATGAATTCTGCCCCTGGCAGGACCACCCACTGCTCTTCTCTGTGTCTCATCCCATCCCACTGTCCCCACTGCCTGCCTTGTAGACACACTGGCATTCTTCTACTTCTCAAATACACCAAGTTCTTTTGTCCGCAGGCTCTTTGCACATGCTGTTGTATTATTCTCTCTCTGAAACGTTACGCAATCAGCTCCTTAGAGAGGCTCTCCCAGACCCCAAGTCCACAGCAGATGCAGTCAGCAGCTTATATACTTTTTGGCAGAGAACAGTTGCCTAATGACATTGTTCAATAAACAAATGAGCTACCTAATTAGGGACAATGGATGTGATCCAGGACAGACACTGAGGCCAGATGTATACATTCCTAGCCACCTAGAACTAAGCAAAGCAGAAAACCCTTTAGAGCACCACTCTACCTTTTTTACCTGGGGCCAGAACCACTGTGTCTTGCATTTTCTTGTACCTGTTCAGGCACTGTCGAAGATCTTCTATTTTCCGATCCTATGAGTAAACAAATTATCATTTTTAATCCTATCATCTTGAAACTTTAGAAAGTGTAACAAAAAGAATAAGCAGACATGAATATTCACACGGAACAGTACTTTTAAGCTTTAGCAAAACAGGTACTATCTAGACTACGTTTCATACAGATGTCAGAGATATGGGAAAAACAGCTCTAAATTTAGAGACTCAATCCTTTAGCTGTCATCTTTAAAAAACAAAAACAAACAGCCACGTGTTGTGGCAGGTGACTGTCATCCCAGCTACTGGGGAGGCTGAGGCAAGAGAATCGCCTAAGCCTAAGAGTTGGAGGTTGCTGTGAGCTGTGACACCATAGCACTCTACAGGGGGATAAAGTGAGACTCTGTCTCAAAAACAAAACAAAAGGTAGTAAGAAACACATACACACAAATCCAAGAAAACAATCAGCTTTAATTACTCTCTTTTCTAATTTTTAAGTCAAGACTTGAAGGAAACCCTTTATCTTTTGTCCTTACTAGCCAACATGAATCACCACCTGGCTCTTCCCTTCTCAAAAGGTGCTTTGACTAATCACCACTGACTTCCTATCTACAAATCTGTATTTCTCCTAAAATTGAGGGGGCTTACTCTCCACCTATCTATGACTCTACATGAATCCTAAAATTTAGATTCATCTTCTAACTTTTTTCTTTTTTTTTTTTTTGAGACAGAGCCTCAAGCTGTCCCCCTGGGTAGAGTGCTGTGTCATCACAGCTCACAGCAACCGCCAACTCCTGGGCTCAAGTGAGTCTCTTGCTTCCGCCTCCCAAGTTGCTGGGACCACAGGTGCCCTGCCACAACACCTGGCTATTTTTTTTT